AAGATTAAATCTAACAGGAAAATCGGCCGATCACTATTAGTCTGCACCGTTCTTTCGTCCTTAAGTGTTTGATTAATGTGTCGTATACATGTCCCAAAAGCTCCTCGATTTCTGTACAGTACTCTTCCCAGTTTTTGCACAACTTCGCCCAGCTCTCATCGGTTCTTTCTGATGTAGGATTTAATGTAATTTTTGTCGCCAACATTGAAGTTCCGGATACTTGGATCGTGACTGCGCTCATCCACTTGTTTGGATGGAAACATGGCATCAAAGACGGTTCGAATACGCCTTCCAAACATGGCTTCCGCGGGAGACTTGCCGTCTGGAACATTCGGGTTCGGGGTAGATCTGTAGGATGTTAAAAATTTCGCGATCACCTGCCCAGTTGTCCCTTCTCCTCCTCCTTTCAGTAGTGCTCTTTTCAAAGTATCCACGAAGCGCTCTACCTGACCATTTGATTGAAGGTGATACGGTGGAGATCGTATGTGCACAATGCCATTAACGTTGCAGAAGTACTTGAATGATTCTGCAGTGAATTGTAAGCCATTATCAATCAACAAAGTCTGCGGAACTCCAAAGCAGCTAAACAGGTCGGATAATTTGCTGATTGTTTCACTAGATGTGCAATTCACCATGGCGTAGATTTGTGGTCATTTTGTGAGGGCGTCTACTATGACTAGATACATTCTTCCTCGTATTGGACCGGCGAAATCTGCATGCAGTCTCTCCCAGGGACTGCTCGGCTTTTCCTACTGTTGCGGTTCACACTTGCTCGGACTTTTGGCTGCTTGTAGGCATGATGAACAATTGCGGCATCTGGTTTCGATATCTTGATCCATCGTAGGCCAGTATGCGTAACTTCGAGCCAGCGCTTTCATCTTATTGATAAAGCGTCAGCTTGTCCAAAATCAGTAGTGGGCTGGTACTTGATCTTGAAGTCATAACCCAAGAGTGTAGTTCCCTAACGTTGCAGTCTGTTTGCAGTGTATACAGGTATAGCTCTCTTTGACCCAAAGATGGCTAGTAATGGTTTATGGTCAGTTAATAGGGTGAACTGACGTCCAAATATAATCTTGTGAAATTTCTTGACAGCGAAGATAATTGACAATGCTTCCTTCTCGATCCGAATATAGTTGCGTTCTGCCGACGTTAACGATCTAGCCGCATGTGATATCGCTTTCTCAGATCCATCTGGCATGATGTAAGAAATAATTGCTCCAATGCCGTAATTTGAAGCGTCTGATTCCACTACAATGGGTAAAGATGGATCGTAATGTGTGAGCAGCAGATCCGAGATTAGTACTTTCTTGATTTCATCGAAAGCGGCTTGGCAAGTTGCAGACCAATTACATTTTACATTCTTCACCAGATGGTTATTCAGGGGGGCACGTAATTGATGAAGGTTCGGAATAAAGGCTCCATAATGGCTAACTAGTCTCAAGAAGGATTGTAGTGTGGGGACATCCGTCGGTCTGGGCATAGTTTTCACTGCCTGGGTATTCTCCAGATCTGGTCTTCTGCCATCTTTGTCGATTATAAATCCAAGGAAGCGTATTTCTTGCATACAGAAGTCACATTTCTCTGGACGAAGTCGAAGTCCATATTCGGCTATTAGAGTCAGCAACTGTTTGAGCTTCTTTTTTAAGTCCAATTTATCTACTCCCATAACTATTATATCATCTAGATAAGCTGCAGCACCTGAAACATCTTGTAGCATAGCACCTCTTATTTGCTGAAATATTGATGGGGCCGTCTTGACTCCGAAGGGTAGTCGATTATACTGGAATAGACCCTTGTATGTGTTTATGGTAAGCGGGTTTTTAGACTCGTCAGCAACAGGGATTTGTAAATAAGCTTCTGATAAACCCAACTTTGCCAAAAGCTCCGTTCAGTTCAGCAAAAAGATCTTCAGGTAAGGGTAATGGATACTGATGAGTTTCGAAGGCTTCATTCAACCCGGTTGAATAATCGGCACATAAAAGAACGCTACCGTTAGTCTTCTTTACTACTACTATCAGTGCGGCCCATCCTGAGAAATTCACTGGTTCAACGACACCCAGTTTCTGAAGTCGATCTAGCTCTTGTTCAACCACTGGGAGAGCAGCATATGGTACGGGTCTCCTAGGTCGATAAACGGGAGTAGCTGCAGGCTTTAGAGTTAACACTGCTTTGGCCTTCGTACACTCCCCTAATCCTTCTCTAAACACGTTTTGGTGTCTTAGTAGCAGGGCATTTTTCTGGCTCCACTCTGAGGTGTTGTCTGTACTTACTCGTCTGCAGATACTGTTGATAGAATGATCTGCTAGTTTAAGTGTTTCTATAAGATCCGACCCCATTAAGTCGAGCGCTGGCTTCTTTGTAATATACACTGTTGCATTTATTGTTACCGTACCTTTAGAAACAGTGCATGGCACTTCCCCAACAATATTTAACTTCTCCCCAGATGCACAACGTGCCAGCTGTGTTGTTGGGAAAACTGTGGGTCTTCCAATGTTCCTCCATGTTTCAGGGTTGATTTAAGTAATATCACAAGCTGTGTCAAGCTGAAGGCGGGTACGGTGTTTAATAATATTCAAGGTCACATACTTTCTTTGGCGGCAACTTCGTGCTTTGGTATGTGATACCAATATCTTGTTGGTTGGAGCACTATATCTTTAGTTCTATGAGTAAGACTTCAAGGAATGCTGTTTATACTTTCGTCTCCTTCAGAGGTTTTCTTTATGCTCCTTCCGATGACATTTGCTGCAACGATGTTCCTTATATGGGCAAAACCTCTTATAGTACCAACCTCCACATGCCCAGCATGGAGATGATGGTTTGTCGCTGTTATTTTGATAATTATGGGTACTGGAACCTTGAAAGACTTTTCTCTTGACTGCATTGACGTTATGGAGACAGTTACCGTTTTCTACCACTGAGGTATCATGCTTTAAGTTTACTAACCTTTGGCACTCAGTAGTCACTTCTTGCAGGGTCATGTTAGGGCAGTGTTCGAGTTTGCTTAGGATTCTGGTTCGGATATCGGCATCCTCGGGTGAACGCAGGCTGAAGATAAATACTAAGCATTTAAACTGATCTTCAGACATGGACGACAATCTGACCCTCTCACATTCTCGGTTCACAGTTCCTGCATGCTTCACCCAGTCATCTCCTGGTTCCTTCGTTAACCTTAAGCACTGGTAGCGGATATTGAATAGAGATGACTGTTCTCCGAAGATTTGGGACAGGGTTTTGACTGTATCATCAAAACTAAAATCTCGTGAATTCTTCGGGAGAATGAAATCGCTATAGCGTTCATGTTCCATAGTCCCAAGTTTTCTAAGAAGTATTCTGACTTTTGAAGCATCATCCAGTTTGCAAAGATCAATATAAAACAAATCATCATACTTCTTAAACCACGACTCGAAAGTTACATCTGCTACACCATCAAAATTAAATTCATGGATGGCGTTAATGACTGAATCAGTATGTGATACTTGAGATTCACTGGAAGCAGGGTTTCTCTCGGACAGGCAGAATTTCTGCATCAGAGTTTGCATGATTCTAATTTGGGACTCTTCAAACCTCTTTTCTTGACGCACCATATAGGCTTCTAATTGCTTCAAGGAAATATTCATTGTAGTTTTCATCCCCGTCGCTACTGATAAGTCGTGTGGATTGAACGCTATTTTAGTTTCCTAAGCTATTCAGGTAACCCGCAGTCTAGAACTACACAGCGATTTGAACACCAGAGAGAAGACACAAGTATGAGAGAAAATAGTTTATCCCAAGTTTCATTTTTGTACAGAAAATCAACGGTATTTATAGATGTTGGCGTCTGTTAAATCAACATCGTATTTCAGCCAATCCGTTAACGACATATTATGCTACCGACCAATGGTAGCACGCCACGCTGGAATTCTCGAGCGTTCCATCATACTCTGATTGAATAGGAGCCCACGGCTCCTTTTGGGAATCTGGAAGCTCCGTTGAAGTTCTCCGGAAGCCGACCGACAATAACGTAACTTGCAAAATAAATTTATTCCCTAGTAGTTCATACTTCGGCTATTGGATTCGACGTTGTACAAACATGATTTATCAATGGTCAACAATGAAATAAAATATGAAATGAGTAAACATGAAACATAACCCAGACACAGTTACTAAAATCATTTATTGTGCATTAAACTAAAGCAAAACTGTATATTTCAATTCTCCGAAAATTTCAAATGCATCGTGAAGTGTAACAAAAACACGCTGAATATCGATTCAATAGAATGCACTGCTCACATTCCATCACATGTTCATTAAATACGAATTTATAATCAGTTTTTACGAACAAGTGAATTACAATAAATAAACAAATGAGTAAATATCAATGTACGACGTATCGAAATAAAGGATAATTTTTTTCACATAACTCGATGGTTTTCACTTCAAACTGACTATAATGAGAAAAAGTTTCATGTGTTTGTTATTAGCAATCGCTCTAGACTCTACTCAATGTCTAACAGAAAGTATTAACAGTGAAACCGATGAAAACAATGCAAGAAAAAATGAAACATTTGAAAGAAGAATATCAGATTCAATAACGAAAACTGTCGACTCCAGGAGAACGGAAACGAGAGAAACTAATAATAGACAGTCACAGGAAAACAACAAAGATTCACATTCAAGTTCAAGTGGCGATTTCGGATTCCAATCTTCACAACGAAAATTCCAACTTAAATATTCAAATCGAAGAAAAAGTGATATTTATACTAACGGTTACCAAACATTCCTCGGAAAACGTAGACGAGGCAGTAAATCACATGTGAAAACCACATTCAGAAAACGTTCTAGCTACGATCACAATGGTCGAAAGAAACGAAGTTCCATATTCGAAAGTTATGGTGAGGCAGACAGTTTCGATAGAAAGAAAATACGTGATGTGTTCGATGTGAATGGATACATTTCAGAGGGTCGAAGTCGTAGTAAACTCGGTGGATACATAGAAGAAGATCGACATGCGTTTGTGTCAGGTGGACACAAGTCGCAAGCTTCTCGAAATGATAGGAAATCTAGTGAGGATGGAAGTCACTTTGTAAATGAAACAAATAATAGAATATCTGGTAGTCAAAGTTTTAAAGACAATCGAAGGAACGCAAACAGTACGGTAAAACCACTTCGAAAATGAATTAAATAATATCTCAAATTTACATGTCCACATGTTAATGAAGATTCCTTGTTCGAAATTAATACTCAGTTTCCCATTACTGTTTCTTCGCGAATCACATCAAATTAAACTATATCAACCATGAACTAGTGACATAAACTGACAATGAATTCCATCCATCATCTGTTCACATCAACAATCAATATGATTTTGTTCCTACCAATCCCTCATTCTTTTCTTTCAAATCATTCTTCACAACCAATGTGTGTTAGCTACATTAGGTTCACTCTCATCATCATATTGAGTCCTCGTTCACAAAATTCACTACTTTCATCTCCCTCATCATTGGAAGATGAAATCTGTTGAAAACCATTGGTATTCTTCTAAATCACATTTGCAAACTCTTATAATTCATTGTAACAGATCATGCATTGTAAGAACAGGTGGGTAAATGTATTTCAAAACAAATTACACCACAAACATTTCCCTTTATTCACGCCAATCAATCCAAACAAATTGCACCGTACACTTTATCTACTCACATGTGGATTACCAATCATGTTACAGAATGAACATGGTAGTCGAAACAACAAAATGATAGAATGATCGCGTCTTCGATGCACTTGTCTACCTATAAATTTCAGTGCTTTCATCCTCAATTGTCTTAGTTGATACATACAGATGATTACACGTAGATAACACATTGAACCCTGTTTAAAATACATTATATAAGGTAGTCATTTCAAACTGAACTTTTTTCGTATAGGACGTAGTATTATGATGAATGTCTAATCCGTAGATGACTATTCGAATTTCGGTTCAAACATCTCAAATGCATTCGGTTTCAAACTGAACCAGAACATGTCTTCGATACTTAGTAATTCTATTCCATCCTTTCACTTTGACTTTCACAAATAATTCAAGTATCACACCATTGTTGATTACAATGAGTTCAATTCACCTATCCACTTCACATCCATCACATGAAATGACTTGATAATCAATTCGCAATGAAATATCTTAAACAAGTAAAATCTTTCGACATTTGGTTTTCAATTCATTATTCAAGATGAAGTGTGAATAGTCTGAAGATATGATATGGATAGGATTGACTCTGAGATCAGATGCATCTAGTTAGTAGGGATAGAAGGTCTTGTTGATTATATCAGTATTCAACACAAACCAAACGACAACCATTTCACAATTAGTTGATCACTGAGTAGTGAACAATATCTCGTATTTCGTATCCTTCCTAATGCTGATCGATAGAAATGAAAATGTCAAGTCACTTAGACTACTCTTAACCACATTCCAGTTTGATCGATAGAATTCGATCATTTCATGAAAGACAAGAGATAAACGGTATTGGTCACTACCAAGTGATCAATCAATCGTAAATACACCTCAGTCCTACAGAATGTCATATCAGGCACAAAGAAAAAATGATCGACAATGAGTTCTGTCTTTGAAAAGATCAAGTATGTGAAATTCCGTTAGACTTTAGATTGGGATGATAGTGTTATTCAGTATTCACTGCTGGATTTCGATCTGTCAAGAAAAACATCACAGTTATGAAAATATGGAAAATAATGCGCTAGAGTACGTTGAGTAATCATGATGAACCTATCATTTCAATAGATAAATCACATCACGGGAAATTTCGAGATTGACTGTGATGTTAGTGAGAAATTTAAAACGGACACCATAAGTAAACTTTAATGTATGCATTTTATTATTGTTAGTTGTATCTATCAAAATACTTATAAACAGTTCCATCAACAAGCCATCAATCGACATAACTGTATAACCAATAAAAATCATTCGGTATTAATTTCAGCGAAGTATCCAGATTTTATGCCTCCTAAGTGAAAACTTTGATATATAACAGGCTAAACAACACTGCCGAAATTTGATGCCCAATGAGGATCGTGAATAAATTTACTCTATGTCGAGTCCCATTACGTTCTCTGTCTTTATTCTCGTCCCTTCAACTCTTTTGTGCAATGTTTTATACAACTTATTAATATTCAGTAAATAGTTGTAATCCTAGCAATTTCTACGCGTATGTTGTAATGCAAGTTCGTCGTGTAATATTCTACACATAACATTTATTGTATTTATCATTATATCAGTTTATTTTAATTCCTCTAGAAGTTATTGTCAGTTTTTATATCGTCGTTTATTCGTTGTTTAAACGCAGTGATCCCCATATTGTTTGCTCTTGGTCCCGTTTTAGCTTGTTGATAAACTGCTATCAAGTTTAGACACAGCTATCAACTGTCATTAGCAATATCGTATGTTGTAACTATTATTTATGTTACTATTGCAGGAAGTACGGACGTGGTAAACACCACAAATACCTTACAAGTTGTTGCTTGTTACTAATTTATTTTTATTATTCAATAAAGAACCGCTTTTTAAACAATTTGCGCATACCTTGATTGTTTAATTTAGACGATTCAATAGATATAACAGTCTATGTGATGATAATTTGTTATTCCTAAAACTACATTTTATCCATCTTACAATTTAGTATGATTCGTCTCTTTCATCTCACCATTTTGCTGATGTGATTGCTACAAGCACGTTCTAACCAACTTATTGCAGTTCATGTCACATAATATCAATTAGAATACGATTTAACTTATACGTTTTCAACGATTCAAACGAGTGACAAGTTATCATACTCAACTGAAAGGAAATGAAATCATCAGAAGATTTTATTACACGTTAAATTCCGTGTTGACAGTGATTTATCTATCAGCAAAGTTGACGACATTATGTGAAACGAACTGCTTGCTCAAACAAACTAAAATCGACTGGTCCTCTTTTCTCAGCAGCTCCAACCACATTTACCAGTTTACATGTACGTGTCAAAGCACATACATTGGAAGAACCGAGAGAAGAATATATGTTCACATTTGCAAGCATGTTTCAAAGAAATTGATACTGCGAGGGACCAGGGCTCTTAACAATGCAAAAGCTCGGTATTTACTTGACAACGGGCATACCATTGACATTCCCCCATGCTCTTTCAATTATTAGCAGACAAAGAAACACAGCTTCTCTACGGTTTGCTGAGGCAGTTGAGATAAAGGAAAGTTCAAACGTGATTTTTGTATCCAATAAGAGACAGCAATCAACCGATTACTATACTAATGAATCATTTTTGTCATTACTTTGTTAGTGTTCATTTTGCTATGTGGTCTTTCTTTACCAAATCCTCAATTTATTTACATTAAAACCATACCTTTACCCATACATTTCCATTCACTTAATTCTCTTAACTTATGTAAACTCTTCAAATCCTGTTCAATTATTACGCAACCCACCTTATCAGTTTAAGTGTCTTCAGTGGGTTCATAAGATTGTGGATAATTAATTTATAAAATAATCCTCAATCATGAAGCGTGTAGCTACAATCGTATATTTGCTGTTTCGCTCAAAACACCACATAAATTATCATAAACTTTTCTACCTAGAAATCCGAAATGTTACAAACTTCACATTTTTTATATATTTACTCATGCTCAATAATTCTGACAGTGGATTCATATTCTTTCTCAATAAACGTAACATGTAAATATTTTGTTGAACCCATTGATAACATTCCATTAGAATCTTAAACGTCCGGAATAATCCACATCAGAAACTATTGTGTAAGGATGGTACTACTGATCACAATTGATTGATCACTGGGTGGTGATCAATGTCATGCGTGTCTAGTCCTTATTATTAGTGCAGATCGAATGCTATCGATCATGTTGCAATGTGGTCACTAGTCTAGGTGACTCGACATTGCGGGCACTATATATTGAGATGTAGATGGTGGTTGGAGGTAGTCAACAAGAAACCCTGGACCCGGGCTTCGTGCTACTTGGCACTCTTCAGCAAGGTGTACCTGTAATCTTGAGGGAACTGGTGCTCTCTGGCGGATTCGATCGCGTGTCACGCAGCTTCACAGTCAGAGACGTTACCACTGAGCTATCTGAGCCGCGACTGACCTCCTGTAGGACTGAGATGTAATCACAATGGTACACCTGACAATGCTTTTTGTTAGTCATTAAGAAGTGACCGAAAGCAATTCAGTAGACTGAAACACCAAAGATAGGTCGGGTACAAGCAGTTAACAGTAAACCGAAGAAATACGTTTCGTGTCAGCTAACACTCAATAATAAGGTGTATCTCCGGTCCTGATGGAGTTGATGCTCCATAGTGGATTCAGACCCAGGCAACCCAGTTTCACAGTCTGAAGCGCTACAACAGTGCTGTTCTCACCACTAACGTGAGAACAATTAATTTAAACGAACTATTATTGAAAATACTTGTGTGTTTTAATTTCTTGAACTATCATATTTTCGGTCAATATTTATTGTACCATAAAAAGAAGCAACGAAGAATGACGCTTCTGATGGTTAATGACCAGAACAACTGTAAATTGTTTAAAAACACTTTACATTTTTCTAACCCACTTAATGTTCGTAATGTGATGTCAAAACCCTTAAAGTAACGAAATGGACTTTAATCCAAAGTAGTCATTCTTTTTTACTCTAATAAATAAAAAAAACATCAACTTCAAACACCTTTCCTAATAAATATTGATAGGCACACAAACTAGTTTGAGATCTCTCTTCAAGATCAAGTGATGGGAATGCATTTCAATGTGATGTTTCTTTAATGAACTCAATGAAATCCCTGTACAATACACCTAACATAAATAACTAATTAACTCAATATCGAATCATTTGTACGTAGTTCACTTCACCAAAAACCGAAATCAAACATCAAATTTCAGCTACTTTACGTTTATTTAAATAAAAAATATCAGCGTCAAAGACAATTCATGGATGAGTCAGTATGATTTAAGGTAGTAAGTCTTGAATTTTTACACAAAATTCAATCGTCTATATGGTTGAACAGCATTTTATCATTATGTGTGATGTCACTTCGTGGAGAAAACCGCAAATCTATTTAATAACCTCATTTTCCAACTCTGAATCCTAATCCTATTTCCTCATATTAATCCATAACCTTGTTTCGACCCTAATAAATGATTGAATTTTCTTAAGGTCATTACGACATCACTGAAACGTCGTGAATCAATTATATTCTCATCGAATAATTTTCAATATATCTGTCACACTACTTCTCTCGGAATTTGTTTTACATTTGATTCAATTGCTTTGAACAAATGGATTTATACAATAAGAATTTTTATTTAATAAGTGGCCATTTAACAATCTCCATGTCACTTGCCTTGTTAAAGTTTTGACAATTGTTCTCTAATTTCACATTTTCATTCAATAAATTCTACTTAGTTTAACCATTAATTTCTATAGATGTAACATAGATTACGGTTAAATTGAAATAATCAGCATACTGATTAACTGAATATTAACATTTCATTAAGCAGATTTGTCTATATACTAATTGGATCTCATTTTCGAACATCATGTCTGAGTTACCGCCAAAATATACATAGTACGAAGAAACAGAGGAGTAAAACGAATGAATAACTATGATATCATGTTCAAGGTGATAGACCTATTTTGTCATGCAGATCAATCATGAACCCTATTTAAACATAAGTGAACGCAATAATATGTATATATTTTGTTACATACCAATAGGTAGGAAATTTGATTTATTATATTTCATAACTTAATATAAGCCACTTTTTCAGAGTGGGTTGGAGAATGCTGGTCGACGGCCTATGCTCCATTAGGAGTAACAGGCGTAAGTAAGTAAGTAAGTAAGTAACATTTTGAGAGTAAATACATAAGTGAAATAAAATAAACATAAGTTTAAATAGCGCAAGAGAAACAAAGTGGAATATTTTGTGTACAATCAAAATCATTATAGATCTGAATATGTAAATGTCAAGTTATTTTTGATCAAGTTGAATTAGTATGATATTTCATTGTATTAATTTGTGTGTCAGAAGGTGGTAATGAAAAATGTATACATTTGTAGTACTCCTACATATGCTTTAACTTAATATCTAAGCAGCACACTGAAGCCACTTCAATATAACTTCATTAATGTAGTACAAGATTCATAAGAATTAGAATCAAATATCTCGTTATTATACATCAACGATAACGAAACAATGGTAAACAATGATGTTGTAGCTTTATGCACTAGTATTCCAATTGATAAATGTATAGACTTCGTCAATGGGTTACTAAAGAATGATAATACTCTATCTAGCAGATGTCCGTTAAGCATTAGTTCAATCATGAAATCGCCCAATCTATGCTTGAATTCAACAATATTCATTTTCACAGGGACTTTCAATAAACAAACAAAAGGAGTAGCCTTGGGATCTCCAATATCTCCAATTGTTGCCAATTTATTTATGTCCTATATTGAGTCTCTTATTTTCGCCACTATCATCAGACCATACATCTGGCCCAGATGTGTACATAACACATTTTTCATTATTAAAAAGACCCTTTTTGAAAATTTCTCCAAACACAAATACGTACTCGGAAAACATCAAATTCACTTTCAAAAAGGAAGATGAACATAATGAACTAGCATCCTTAAAGTATTTAGTTAAGATAAATTCTAGTGGAAGTCTAAATCTAAATTACTCCCATAGTGTACATTCTGTACTTAATACCGATGCACCACCTATAGGTACTGGCGCAGTTTTTGAGTAGAAATGTAGACCACTAATTAGTGTTCCATGAAAACTTACAGTTGCTGAACAAGGTTATTCACAAACTCAGTGAGAAGCATCAGCCGAATTTTGGACTGTTAAACGATTTCATAAATATTTATTTGAAAAAATTCACCTATGTTGCTAATCTTGAAGCTTTAAAGTTTACTTATCATTCTGAAAAATCCTTAGCACGTATCTCAGCTTCAACGATGAAGTATCGCTCTGAGTGCCTATAAACATACGATTAAGTCAAGAAGTCTCAAACAAATTCAACAGGTTGACCACATTTCTTGACATACATTGCAACATAAACCTGTCAATATTGCAGATGGTTTATTAGTGTAAACTTTACCGACGAGACGTTCAGATCTCATACGAGAAACTCGTCGACACTTTGGATGTATACTTAGTGATATTCGAAAAGTTTGGAATGCTAATCTGAAACGTAGATTTTCCATCTATTTTTCAAAGCGTGATCAGTTATCCGCCGATCCGGATGGTGTTTTCTGTTCAAATGATCTTGTTGTTATTCCTCCTCTATTATGTAAATCTGTTCTTGAAGGTCTTCATAATGGATATTTTAGCGTTGAGAAAATGAAATCCTTATCAAGGCTTACATATCGGTGACCGGAGATAAATGCAGATATATGTCGTAGAGCAAACAATTGTGGAGGATGTTAACTTTAAAATTCATTCTTCGAATTGGACTCCATGGCCAATATCGTCTGTTACCCACCAGAAAATTTATTTAGACTATCGTAATTCATTTCCCAGCAAATAACTTGAAAATTTTCTCCATTAATCCTCCTTCCAAGAAGCCTGAGACTCTTTTCAAAACTTTACAATCCAAGTATTAATGAAGGATTTTAGTCAGGAGATGGAATCTATGGTATTAGTGACCGATTATGGCTATCATTTCACTGCGGATACAGTCATTACCTAGTTGAACGGCATAGGACGCAGACATCTGTTCACTGCTTCCATGTGTTATATTTAAAGCTTAGATTCCTAATAAACCGCGTGTGACCTGAGCACTCGGACCCTAGAACCCTCCCAATTCGCAAATAAGAAGACAGAAGAGTGAAGAAAAAACTCATTGGGCAAGAATCAAAATGTACAGAAAATCATGAGTATTTTTTAAATATTAGTGTCTGTTCAATCAATATTATAATTCAACCATACCGCAAAGAGGCGTGTTATGTTACTGACTAATAGTAGCATGCCACGTTGTTGTTCTAGAAAGCTTCATTACGTTCTGATTGTGTGGAACTCTTCAACTCTTCCAAGGCTTCTGAAGACTCCATCATAGTTCACAGAAGCCGTCCCAACACCAGGCTTCCTTGTTCTAATGGTCGGGAAAAATGTTCGTCAGGACATTAAAAACTGCTACTAATTTCAATGCTGCTTCTACATCTGATGAACTTAAGAAGAGGATTGGGTTCATTTCTACTGCAATATAGAAATGCTTAACATTCTGTAATGAAAAAGACACCATCAAAGCCATTAAATGGAAGAATTTTCCGTTTGATTATGAGGTTTTTTGAATCTGCAGAAGTTACATATTATGGTGGAAAAAATCTTTAATCATCCAAGAGGATTGTAGTGAAGAATATTGGAAAATCTATGGTTCGAATTCTAGATACCAATGATTTAAGTACACACAACTAACATGTTGATCATATACAATTCCTGGAACCAGATGAGTCTGTTCCAATTCAATCTGTTAATTCTAATACTAATGGGTATACTCTAGATCATAAAGATTCGGATAGGAATATAATGAACTTAAGGAGAAGTACGACTGATTACAGAAATTTAAATTCCACTCCAAGCTGTTGCGGTAGTGGTACTTGCACTAACTGACGATTCCTTTATACTTGATCGCGCACTTATCACGAATCCCAAATATGATACATTCACTTGTGTTCATCTGGTTCCAACTGCTTTATATCGCATTATTTTGGAATTCCTAGTAAGCACATTAGTTCAAATACTTCCAGTAATCTTACGAAGATAACTTTGGTAGTTCAGTTATTAGTTCGTCCATAAAACAGCTTTCATATGTATTTTATTGTTCACGTTATTTAGTGTAGACGCTGACCATCTGCAGCAGCTTCTCTGTTTTTCACTAAAACTTTTCGACACAATTTCATAGATCAGATACCATGTGACAATTGAGTCAACTATACCCTCCAGTTCTCTTCTTAGCTTATTGTGACCTTTAATAGACATGCTTGTAATTCGGCACGTATACATTTTCTGTATATGTGTATCTGTACACTAATTATATTATTCATTCCCTTTCTCCACACTGGTAACATTTTGAGTTATCTAAAGCCTTAAACGGGTGGAAATTTAAGATTTATTTTTCTCTTCTTAATATGAAAGTCTACTAATATCGGAATTTGCGAAATGAAGTTATCTCGTAACATTTCATACTTCGGCTACTGGATTCAACGTTGTAAAAATATGATAAATCAATTGTCAATTATTGAATTAAATAAAAAATGAGTGAACTTGAAACAGAACTCAGACACAGTTACCGAAATCATTTCTTGTCGATAAAAATTAAGTAAAACTAAGTATTTTAATACTTCGAAAATATCAAATATATCGTGAAGTATAATAAAAATACGCTAAATATCGATTCCTCAGAATGCACTGCTCACATTCCATCACATGTTCATTAAATACGAATTTATAATCAGTTTTTACGAACAACTGAATTACAATAAATAAACGAATGAGTAAATATCAATGTACGACGTATAGAAATGAAGGATAAATTTATTCACATAACTCAATGATTTTCATTACAAACTAACGACAATGAGAACAGATTTCATGTGCTTATTATTTACAACTATTCTATACTCACTGCTATATCTAACATTCAATGTTAACAGTCAGTTGGACGAAAACGACGAAAGAGAAAATTCATCATTACAAAGAAATGAATTTCGTTCAGAAAAAAGTGATTCTGACTCCAGGAGAACGGAAATGAGAGAAACTAAAAATAGACAGTCACAGGAAAACAGCAAAGATTCACATTCAAGTTCAAGTGGCGATTTCGGATTCCAATCTTCACAACGAAAATTCCAACTGAAATACGCAAATCGAAGAAAAAGTGATATTTATACTAGCGGTTACCAAACATTCCTCGGAAAACGTAGACGAGGCAGTAAATCACATGTGAAAACCACATTCAGAAAACGTTCTAGCTACGATCACAATGGTCGAAAGAAACGAAGTTCCATATTCGAAAGTTATGGTGAGGCAGACAGTTTCGACAGAAAGAAAATACGTGATGTGTTCGATGTGAATGGATACATATCAGAGGGTCGGAAGCGTACTAAACTCGGTGGATACATCCAAGAAGATCGACATGCGTTTGTGTCAGGTGGACATAAGTCGCAAGCTTCTCGAAACAATAGGAAATCTAGTGAGGACGGAAGTCACTTTGTAAATGAAACTCATAATCAAGGATCTCGTACTCACAATTTGAAAAAAATTGATGGAACTGCAAACAGTACTATACCGCGACGTCGAAAATGAATTAAACAAATATCTTAAATTTACACGTCTACACGTTAATGGATATTCCGTGTTCGAAATTAATATTCAGTTTCACATTACTATCAATATTATTTTGTTCCTACCAATCCCTCATTCTTTTCTTTCAAATCATTCTTCACAATCAATGGGCGTTAGCTACATTAGGTTCACTCTCATCATAATATTGAGTCATCGTTTACAAAATTCACTACTTTCATCTCCCTCATCACTGGAAGATGAAATCTCTTTCACACTGTTTGTATTCTTCTAAATAACATTTGCAAACTCTAATAATTCATTGTAACAGACCATGCATCGCAAGAACAGGTGGGTAAATGTATTTGAAAACAAAAGACACCATAAACATTTTCTTTTATTCACACCTATCAATCCAGACAACTTGCACCGTACACTTTATCTATTCACACGTGGATTACCAGTCATGCTACAGAATGAACATGGTAGTCGAAACAAGAAAATGATAGAATGATCGCGTCTTCGACGCACTTGTCTATATATACATTTCAGTGCTTTCATCCTTCATCGTTTCAGATGATTCATACATATGATTACACGTAGACAACACATTGAACCCTGTTTAAAATACATTATATAAGGTAGTCATTTCAAACTGAATTTTATTCGTATAGGACGTAGTATTGTACTAAATGTTCAATCCGTACACGACTATTTGAATTTCGGTTCCATCATATCAAATGCATTCGGTTTCAAACTGAACCAGAACATGTCTTCGATACTTAGTAATTCTCTTCCATCCTTTTACATTGACTTTCACAAATAATTCAAGTACCACACCATTGTTGATTACAATGAGTTTCATTCATCTATCCACTTCACATCCATCACATGAAATGACTTGATAATCGATTCTCAATGAAATATCTTAAACAAGTGAAATCTTTCGACATTCGGTTTTCAATTCATTATTCAAGATAAAGTGTGAATAGTCTGAAGATATGATATGGATAGGATTGACTCTGAGATCAGATGCATCTAGTTAGTAGGGATAGAAGGTCTTGTTGATTATATCAGTATTCAACACAAACCAAACGACAACCGTCTCACAATTAGTTGATCACTGAGTAGTGAACAATATCTCGTATTTCATGTCCTTCATAATGCTGATCGATAGAAATGAAAATGTCAAGTCACTTAGACTACTCTTAACCACGTTCCAGTTTGATCGATAGAATTCGATCATTTCATGAAAGACAAGAGATAAACGGTATTGGTCACTACCAAATGATCAATCATTTGTAAATACACCTCAGTCTTACGGAATGTCAATGATATGGTGTTTGACTGTGAAATGTGGTCATAAAAAACTGAATCCGTCAGTAAACTTTAGTTCACCTAATCTTTATAAAAGATTTCCAGTCGAAGTTTTTTATCCACCATCTTACTAGCCTTTTTCTTGTACTCAGAACAGACTATCACCTAATTCATTTTGTCGACTATTTTCTGTTTGTGATAAAAGCTGTCAACAAAAATGATAATTCTCTAACCAAATAAAGAAAACACCAATTCAACCTTGGTTGTATAGTTTCCGGAAACATCACAAATACTTATCTGTCTTACTTGACCAATCAACTCTATCATGATTATATTTTATTTGTCAATATTATGTTAAGCATATATATCTAATTCCTCCATAGGTTTCTAGTCATCATGTGTTTATAGAATTGGGATCTCGAGATAGATTCAATTTTTACTTACCACTATTAATAAATTTTACTAGTTAGATAATGACAATTTAAACAGTAAATTATTATTTGACTCGTTTTTTCTGCACTTTTTCGAAACTTATAAAAATGTATTCAGGTTAGATGTTGGAGTGATTGTGACTGCCTATATTTACTTAATATATTGTATTAGATAAATTAAAACACATATTTCCAAAATTCATTGATATGTATTGATGTTTGTCAGTAGTAATTAGAAATTGTTTAGGTTGGAGTAACTATAATTTATTATTTTTAAAACTCATCTACCAACCTAGTATATCATGGGTAAACTAGATCACAGATGAAAAAACCAAGCTGTCGGTAATCCGATCAGTATTATCTGATATCAGCAACTTTTAAATCAACATTATAGCGGTAGAAATTTGAAAACGTTTCAGTTGATTAAGACAGAAAGCTGTTAGCTTCTAAAATCCAAATCACTCAATTGATCCAACATAATGCTACATAATTTTGAGCCATTGGATTTCACTTAATATTAGATCGAGGCGAAATTTACTGATCACCTAAACTTTTAACAACTTTGTATTCTGCCAATTATACTGTTAAGACATCAATTTTCAAATCACCACCAAGTAATATAACATTCCCATCGACGCATAGGGTATAAATATAATAGTAATCTTTCAGATGTAAGAAAATTACATCACGTTTCTTTTAACGAAATGATAGGCACACAAACTAGTTTGAGATCTCATTTCAAGATCAAGTGATGGGAATGTATTTCAATCTGATTTTTCTTTAATGAACTCAATGAAATCCCTGTACAATACACCTAACATAAATAACTAATTAACTCAATATCGAACCATTTTTATGTAGTTCACTTCACCAAAAACCGAAATCAAACATCGAATTTCAGCTACTTTACGTTTATTTAAATAAAAAATATCAGCGAAAAAGACAATTCATGAATGAGTCAATATGATTTAAGGTAGTAAGTCTTGAATTTTTACACAAAATTCAATCGTCTATATGGTTGAACAGCATTTTATCATTATGTGTGATGTCACTTCGTGGAGAAAACCGCAAATCTATTTAATAACCTCATTTTCCAACTCTGAATCCTAATCCTATTTCCTCATATTAATCCATAACCTTGTTTCGACCTTAATAAGTGATTGAATTTTCTTAAGGTCATTACGACATCACTGAAACGTCGTTCATAAATTATATTCTCATCGAATAATTTTCAATATATCTGTCACACTACTTCTCTCGGAATTTGTTTTACATTTGTTTCAATTGCTTTGAACAAATGGATTTATACAATAAGATTTTTTATCTAATTAATGGCCATTTAACAATCTCCATGTCACTTGCCTTGTTAAAGTTTTGACAATTGTTCTCTAATTTCACATTTTCATTCAATAATGTCTACTTAGTTTAACCATTAATTTCTATAGATGTAACATAGATTACGGTTAAATTGAAGAAATCCGCATATTCATCAACTGAATATTAACATTTCATTAAGCAGATTTGTCTATATACTTATTGGATCTCATTTCTGAACATCATGTCTGAGTTACCGCCAAAATATACATAGTACGAAGAAACAGAGGAGTAAAACGAATGAATAACTATGATATCATGTTCAAGGTGATAGACCTATTTTGTCATGCAGATCAATCATAAAGCCTATTTAAACATAAGTGAACGCAATAATATGTATATATTTTGTTACATCCCAATAGGTTGGAAATTTGATTTCTTATATTTCACAACTTAATGTAAGCCACTTTTTGAGAGTGGAATGGAGAATGCTGGTCGACGGCCTATGCTCCATTAGGAGTAACAGGCGTAAGTAAGTAAGTAAGTAAGTAAGTAAGTAAGTAAGTAAGTAAGTAAGTAAGTAAGTAAGTAAGTAAGTAAGTAAGTAAGTAAGTAAGTAAGTAAGTAAGTAAGTAAGTAAGTAAGTAAGTAAGTAAGTAAGTAAGTAAGTAAGTAAGTAAGTAAGTAAGTAAGTAAGTAAGTAAGTAAGTAAGTAAGTAAGTAAGTAAGTAAGTAAGTAAGTAAGTAAGTAAGTAAGTAAGTAAGTAAGTAAGTAAGTAAGTAAGTAAGTAAGTAAGTAAGTAAGTAAGTAAGTAAGTAAGTAAGTAAGTAAGTAAGTAAGTAAGTAAGTAAGTAAGTAAGTAAGTAAGTAAGTAAGTAAGTAAGTAAGTAAGTAAGTAAGTAAGTAAGTAAGTAAGTAAGTAAGTAAGTAAGTAAGTAAGTAAGTAAGTAAGTAAGTAAGTAAGTAAGTAAGTAAGTAAGTAAGTAAGTAAGTAAGTAAGTAAGTAAGTAAGTAAGTAAGTAAGTAAGTAAGTAAGTAAGTAAGTAAGTAAGTAAGTAAGTAAGTAAGTAAGTAAGTAAGTAAGTAAGTAAGTAAGTAAGTAAGTAAGTAAGTAAGTAAGTAAGTAAGTAAGTAAGTAAGTAAGTAAGTAAGTAAGTAAGTAAGTAAGTAAGTAAGTAAGTAAGTAAGTAAGTAAGTAAGTAAGTAAGTAAGTAAGTAAGTAAGTAAGTAAGTAAGTAAGTAAGTAAGTAAGTAAGTAAGTAAGTAAGTAAGTAAGTAAGTAAGTAAGTAAGTAAGTAAGTAAGTAAGTAAGTAAGTAAGTAAGTAAGTAAGTAAGTAAGTAAGTAAGTAAGTAAGTAAGTAAGTAAGTAAGTAAGTAAGTAAGTAAGTAAGTAAGTAAGTAAGTAAGTAAGTAAGTAAGTAAGTAAGTAAGTAAGTAAGTAAGTAAGTAAGTAAGTAAGTAAGTAAGTAAGTAAGTAAGTAAGTAAGTAAGTAAGTAAGTAAGTAAGTAAGTAAGTAAGTAAGTAAGTAAGTAAGTAAGTAAGTAAGTAAGTAAGTAAGTAAGTAAGTAAGTAAGTAAGTAAGTAAGTAAGTAAGTAAGTAAGTAAGTAAGTAAGTAAGTAAGTAAGTAAGTAAGTAAGTAAGTAAGTAAGTAACATTTTGAGAGTAAATACATAAGCGAAATGAAATAAACATAAATTTAAATATTGTGCGTACAATCAAAATCATCATAGATCTGAATATGTAAATGTCAAGTTATGTTTGATCAAGTTGAATTAGTATGATATGTCATTGTATTAATTTGTTTGTCAGAAGGTGGTAATGAAAAATGTATACATTTGTAGTACTCCCACATATGCTTTAACTTAATATCTAAGCAGCACACTGAAGCCACTTCAATATAACTTCATTAATGTAGTACAAGATTCATAAGAATTAGAATCAAATATCTCGTTATTATACATCAACGATAACGAAACAATGGTAAACAATGATGTTGTAGCTTTATACACTAGTATTCCAATTGATAAATGTATAGACTTCGTCAATGGGTTACTAAAGAATGATAATACTCTATCTAGCAGATGTCCATTAAGCATTAGTTCAATCATGAAATCGTTCAATCTATGCTTGAATTCAACAATATTCATTTTCAATGGGACTTTCAATAAACAAACAAATAGAGTAGCCTTGGGATCTCCAATATCTCCGATTGTTGCCAATTTATTTATGTCCTATATTGAGTCTCTTATTTTCGCCAGTATCATCAGACCATGCATCTGGCCCAGATATGTACATAACACATTTTTCATTATTAAAAAGACCCTTTTTGAAAATTTCTCCAAACAAAAATACGTACTCGGAAAACATCAAATTCACTTTCAAAAAGGAAGATGAACATAATGAACTAGCATCCTTAAAGTATTTAGTTAAGATAAATTCTAGTGGAAGTCTAAATCTAAATTACTCCCATAGTGTACATTCTGTACTTAATACCGATGCATCACCTATAGGTACTGGCGCAGTTTTTGAGTAGAAATGTAGACCACTAATTAGTGTTCCATGAAAACTTACAGTTGCTGAACAAGGTTATTCACAAACTCAGTGAGAAGCATTAGCTGAATCTTGAACTGCTAAACGACTTCATAAATATTTATTTGAAAAAATTCACTATTGTTACTAATCTTGAAGCTTTAAAGTTTACTTATCATTCTGAAAAATCCTTAGCACGTATCTCAGCTTCAACGATGAAGTATCGCTCTGAGTGCCTATAAACATACGATTAAGTCAAGAAGTCTCAAACAAATTAAACATGTCGATCACATTTTTGACATTCATTGCAAGATAAACCTGCCAATATTGCAGATGGTGTAGTAATGCAAACTTTACCGACGACACATTCAGATCTCATACGAGAAACTCATCGACACTTTGGATGTATACTTAGCGATATTCGAAAAGCTTGGAATGCTAATCTGAAACGTAGATTTTCCATCTATTTTTCAAAGCGTGATCAGTTATCCGCCAATCCGGATGGTGTTTTCTGTTCAAATGATCTTGTTGTTATTCCTCCTCTATTATGTAAATCTGTTCTTGAAGGTCTTCATAATGGATATTTTAGCGTTGAGAAAATGAAATCCTTATCAAGGCTTACATATCGGTGACCGGAGATAAATGCAGATATATGTCGTAGAGCAAACAATTGTGGAGGATGTTAACTCTGAAATTCATTCTTCGAATTGGACTCCATGGCCAATATCGTCTGTTACCCACCAGAAAATTTATTTAGACTATCGTAATTCATTTCCCAGCAAATAACTTGAAAATTTTCTCCATTAATCCTCCTTCCAAGAAGCCTGAGACTCTTTTCAAAACTTTACAATCCAAGTATTAATGAAGGATTTTA